TTATTATCTGGGCCTTTCTGAAAAAGTTCGTCAACTCCTGCATTATAAGCAAGTCTAGCCCACATCTAGGGGGAGGGGATTCACAAAGGCATAAAGACCAGGAAGCTGGGGCCACTGGGTGTCATTTTGGACACTTCCTTCCACAATAGTGTCTGCCATAGAATAGGTATTTGGCAAGTATTTGCTGAATCAATAAATGGATAATTGTTCTATGATTGCAATTCAAACCATAATTGCTATGGTTTCAATGTGTCACCTCCAAAATTCAACATAATGGCCAACATAATGATATTAAGAGTTTGGGCCTTTAAGAGATAGGTTATGAGGGCTCCTTCCCTTGTGAACTGAAATTCAGACCCTTACAAGGCTTCACACAGCATTGACCTCACTTGCCCTTCCACCTTCTGCCACGTGAGAGCAGCGTATTACTCCCCTGCAGAATTTGTAACAACAAGGCATCCTTTTGGAAGCAGAGAACAGCCCTCAGCAGCCAACCAGACCTGTCATCACATTGACCTTGGACTTACCAGCCTCCAGAACTGTGAGAAATACACTCCTATTCTTTATAAATTACCCAGTCTCAGGTATTTTAGTATAGCAGCACAAACAGAGACATGCATCTGCCAATTTTCCAAATTCAAGGACTAAAAAGCAAATTATTAGTAAGAAAAAAACAAATTCCTTCACTGTTAGGGTTTGACAACTGTGTCACAACTGTGACAATTTATCAACTCTCTGTGATCATCCTACTAGCAATTTCCATCATTATGTGAAGTGAGTCATATGGTAAAATAAGCTTAGAATTGAATTAAATGTAGATTTGACAGATTATTCTTTACGACATCAGCACATTAGAATAAATGGAAGCATTTTAAGGCACTCATTTGAGATGCGAATTCATTCTGGAGCAATAGTTATTGTGCATTATGATTACAATACAGCAGTCACCAGTATCTTCTAACACCAACAGAGGCTCAAAACCTTAGGATATAAAACCAAACTGTGAACTATTTTTCATCCTTTCTGTGTGTCTTTTCTTCTTCTTTTTTTTTTTGAGACAGAGTTTCGCTCTTGTTGCCCAGGCTGGAGTGCAGTGGCATAATCTTAGCTCACCTCTGCCTCCCAGGTTCAAGAAATTCTCCTGCCTCAGCCCCGTGAGTAGCTGGGATTACAGGCATGCACCACCACTCCTGTCTAATTTTGTATTTTTAGTAGAGATGAGATTTCTCCATGTTGGTCAGGCTGGTCTCAAACTCCTGGCCTCAGGTGATCCGCCTGACTTGGCCTCCCAAAGTGCTGGGATTACAGGCGTGAGCCACTGCATCTGACTCTGGGTGTTTTTTCTACAGAAGCCAGAATACTGTGCCATGAAGACCTTCCTTGATCATTTAAGAATGATCTTGGCCGGGTAAGGTGGCTCACGCCTGTAATCCCAGAAAAATCATGAGGTCAAGAGATCGAGACCATCCTGGCCAACATGGTGAAATCCTGTCTCTACTAAAAATACAAAAAAATTAGCCGGGCATGGTGGCACATGCCTGCGGTCCCAGCTACTTGGGAGGCTGAGGCAGAAGAATCCCTTGAACCCAGGAGGGGGCGGTTGCACTGAACCGAGATTGTGCCACTGCACTCCAGCCTGGGCAACACAGTGAAACCCTCACTCAAAAAAAAAAAAAGAAAGAAAAAGGAAAAAAAATTGGAAAATCATCCAGGGTTATACAGGTAGTAATTGGCTGTCAAGTTTCAAAGTTATACTAGATTTTTCCTGAAGTGTGAGTTTAACTTGAATTGGATATAAAACTGTGTTAAAAGAATGTCAACTGAATTAAATTTAAAGTTTAATTGAGCAATGAACGATTTGTGAATCGGGCAGCCCCCAGAATCACAGCAGATTCAGAGAGGCTCTAGGGGTGTCTCATGGTCAGAAGAAATTTATAAACAAAAAAGTAAAGCAATGTTCAGAAATCAGAACTGAGGTACAGAAACAGCTGGATTGGTTACGGCTCGGCATTTGCCTTATTTGAACGCAGTTTGAACACTCAACAGTGTATGAGTGGTTGAAGTTTGGCTCCTGGGATTGACCAACACTCAGCGATTGTTACAGGCACATACACCTAAGTTAGGTTTTCAATCTTGTCTACCTGTTAAGTTAGGTTGCAATTCATCCACAAGGATTCAAACAGAAGTACAGAGTCCGTCTCAAGCCATATTTAGTGTGCTTTAACAACTGCTACGGATGTATTTGGAAATACATTTCTACGTCATGGCTGATTATCCATTTGGCATATTGATGAGGAACTCAGCAATTGACATTGGCACTTCTATGCTTAGTCAAAAGAAGGATGGGGGCCTGTTGTGTTACAACCTGTGATATGGTAGCATAATAGGAAATAGATATTATTTGTCTCTGGCCTTTGTCCCTGGTTCCTGACATAGAGCTCCTAAACTCTTATAGATAGGGATGCTAGGTGAATCTTTTGTTCTAATATTTGATCTTTGACCCCAGTTCCTGACACAGAGCTCCGAAATCCCTTGAAATTCCCTGGGTGATAGGAACTCTTTTGTTCAGATGAAGTGAATCTTAATGGACCTCTAGGCAGCTTCAGGATGGGGGCTGGTTACCAGGGAAACCAACTGTGTGATTATAGAGCTGGATATTTCAGCTCCATCCCCTGACCTCTAGGGAGGAGAAAAGGGCTCAAGTTGAGTAATCACCAATGGCCAAAGATGTAATCAATAGTGCCTATGTAATGAATCCTCCATTAAAATCCCAATGGACAAGATTCAGAAATCTTTGGGATAGCTGAACATACGGAGGCATGGAAGCTCTGCACCCTTGCCCACATGTCTTTCTCTGTGTACCTCTTCCATCTGGTTATTCTTCTGTATTCTTTGTAATATCCTTTTTAATAAATGGATAAGTAAAGTGTTTCCTTGAATTCTGTGAGTCGCTCTAGCAAATTAATCAGACTGGAGGAGGGGCTTGTGGGAATCCAGATTTGTAACTGGTTGGTTAATTATTAAACAACACATAGTCACAACTTGTGATTGGCATTTGAAGTGGGGGGGTTCTTTTGGGACTGAGCCTTTAACCTTTGGGATCTGACACTAACTCCAGGTACACAGTGTCAGAACTGGGTTAAATTACAGGACATCAAGTTGATGGCCACTGGAGAATTGGTTGCCGGTGGGAAGAAATTCCCACACACTTTGGTGACAAGAGGTGAAGGGTTGTACTGTGTGTGAGTATAGAGAAAAAAAGTTGTTTTTGTTTTTTCCACTCGGAACAGCCTGAGCCAAATTAAAAGAGAAATAACTGAACAATTGCCAGCCCATACAGAGAGCTAAATCCTCACTGGGATCACACACAAGAGCCATAATGTCAGTTAACTGTGATTCCACAGGTGATCTGTTATACAGCTGGAGAAATGTAAGTTAGTCTGGTCCTACTCTACTATAGTAGACAGAGTGGATTAGAAATTAAAACATGGTTACTTGGCAGAGATAGGTACCTACATTCAAGTGTTTCGGCAATTCACGGGTGCAAATTGTGCAATAATTCCTTTATTGGATTATCTAAAATTTACTTCCTGAAATATGCCTCCAAAAAGGTTATCTCGTTCTGAAGACTGAAGAAAAGAACTGGAGTAGAAGAAAAGTGAGTGTGATTGGTGAAAAAAACAGAAATGAAAGACAATTCCAGTTGAGTTAAATGTCCTATATTTACAGCATGTAAAAATACATGACAGTATATAATTTTTATCAAGTACATGCTAAGCAATGGATAATGAAAATAATGTGTTTTGAGGAAACCTGAGCTATTGACAGTATAGATGGTGATAGAAAATACCAGTTTGGATCTTACAGGAGGAAAGAGGGTGAGAACCGTCAGAAGGAAGAAGGGCGTTGGTGTGAACCTATGAAAATCAGCTTTTACAAAGTGTTCAAGAACTTTACTTCGGTCCCAAATCAGTTCTCTGGAGAGGTAAGAGTTTTCTCGCCGTGACCTCGGAGAGTAAACCGTACCCTCCGCGTGGATTTTTTTTCTCTCCAGAGTCTCTTGAGAGTCTTGGTTAATTCCAGAGCTGCTAAGGGACTCCAGGGTCCTGGAGGGAGGGCCCAGCACCCCTCAGCGCTGCTTAGGGTCTCAGGGCTGGTATTTTCAAATGCTGGATGTGCTCACTGATGTACAAGCTTAAGGCTATGAAATCAAGCTGTAACAAACAGGAAGCGATTGTTGCTATGAAACTTCCAAGTCCTTAACCCTTCTTTCTCCCACTACAATCATTGCTTTTAGAGCATGATTTTTGAGGTTTCTGAGGAGCACAAACGTCAGTTCCTGCAGAACAGACTGTAACGAGCTTGGATACAATTGCATGGGTTGCAGTGAACTTTAATACCGATGATGTCAGGATCTGTTCTGATACATACATCAAGTTCATTAATAAGCGCAGCATCGGTACTTTTAAATCGATATTTTAAAGTACCCCTGTTTTGTTTGTCCTATTTATCAAATCTTAGCATATTAACGCTTACAGCTATAGTTATAACCACGACCTGTATTCACAGATTTTTTGTATTTCTCCTTCATTCCCCCAACCTACTCCCCACCCTCCTCCCTACATTTTTGGACCTTATAGGAAGAAAGAGGGTGAGAACTGCCAGAAGGAAGAAGGGCGTTGGTGTGAACCTATGAAAATTAGCATTTACAAAGTACTCAAGAACTTTTTACTTCAATCCCAAATCAGTTCTCTGGAGATTTGGAGAGGTAAAGAGTTTTCTTGTCACAGCTCGGCGCAACCCTACCCTACGCGTGGATTTTGTTTTTCCCCAGAGCCTCTTGAGAATCTTCGTTAATTCCAGAGCTGCTAAGGGAGGGCCCAGCGCCCCTCAGCGCTGCTTAGGTCTTCTTGGACTGCACTGGGAAACAGCCGGCCCAGGCGAGGTGCCCCGGGCGCCCCCAAGAAAAAATTGTGCGGCCCAGAAGTCACAGGTTTTACCTCTGGGAAGTGGTCACAAGGTCCGGCACAGTGGCGGCTGTCTCCTCTTGGAACTGCGCAGTGAAAACCGAGCTCGCCCTCTGAGCTCGCAGCTCCGGAGAGCGGTGGGGAGGGTCATCTCCATAGGGATCCAACAACACTCGGAGTCGCCACCCCGCCCCGCAGCCCCGCCCACTGCCGCGCCCCCGGCCCACCCGGACCTCCGAGGCTGCAGTGAGCAGAGCTGCCCGCCCCATGCGGGTCACTGCCCTTCTCTCCACAGTCACAGTGCGAGGCCCGCTAGGCTCAGGTCCCGGCGCCTTTCCCTGCCTCCAGGGAGCTTGCGGTGGGAGAAAGGGGTCCCTTGGGTTGCTGCACGTCCCGGAAGCCCTGTGAGGCACCCAGCAGAGGTGCCAGACGCAAGGCCGTGGGACCCCAAGAAGAGACTTGGACACTGAAGCCAACGTTGGCTTGATCTCATACAAAGCCAGCGATGTTAAGGCTGTGTGAGGGGGAAAGTGGAGCAGCTTCATCTTTGTCATGTGCATCTTCAGCAGATCCTCAGAAAATGTTAATATTATTGCAGAATTGCCAATTTCAGCATTATACAAAAGGCGCAAAAACAAACCCCAAAAACCCTTCCTCCTTAGTTTCTGGTCAAAATGTCTTTAATTATTTGTTGTGAAGTCTGCTTTTTTCTTTGGTATGTAATATTATGGCCAGGAAAAGATGCTCACAATACATTACGTACAAAAAGCAGCTTAGAAAAAAAACATCAGAATGGTATAATTTATTGTTCACAACGTGTTTAAGAAATCTGGGAGTATGTACACAAATAGGTGAAATGGCTTGCTCCAGTAGAGTTTTAAAAATCATCTGTAATTCAATTTTTTTCTACAATGAATATGCAACATCTATATAATAAACATTAAGTTTTATTCTAGTAAAATTTCTTATGAGAGATAGGCTCTTGCTATGCTGCCCAGGCTGGAGTGCAGTGGCTATTCACAGGCCTGGTCATTGTGTACTATATTTTTATTTTAAATCTTTTTCTTTTTCATCTGTATGCCAGTAAAATCATCATTGTGCACTATAGCTTAGAACTCCTAGGCTCAAGCAATCCTCTTGCCTCCGCCTCCTGGCTGAGGGAGGAGGTGGAGCAGAGACAGGGTCATCTCCACAGTGATCCAACAACAGGGAGCCAGCCTGCTGGCCTGCAGCCCCACCCGCCACTGCACCCCTACAGTTACCCAGGCACCATATTTTTTTCCTGTTGCCTTGAACATGTGTTTGAGTGTGAAAGGATACAAATTAGATAAGCTAAAATTTTGATACCTTGGACCCGTCTGGGGCCCTGTGACACAAAGGGAAAACGGACCAAGCGAATAAATAAGGTCAATCCACTGCTCTCTCATAACCCAAAGGAAACAGCTTTTGCTTTATTCTTTCTCAGGGCCGATCTATGAAAAATGTGTCACAAGACAAAGTGTCCTTTCACCCTGTCAGATCCTAGAGTACTACTTTTTCTCCTTAAATCCCTATTCTCACAACCCAAATGAAGTTTCCTCCGTAACGTAATTTTTAAAATGGGTATTAAAAAGACCAATTAAATAAACTGATCAAAATACTCTGAATTCAAAAAGCCAAAGATTATTACAATCAAAATTAAGAAATATTCAATAAGTCCTTCTCCCTCCCCCAGTCAGGTGCTGTGTTTCTGTGGCCTGGAAACAAGGAGACAGAACATGGACATCTTCCGCAATGCAAAGGTAACTGAGCTATCAACAAACAAAATGTGTTCTATCCATACCATGGAGTATGATTCAGCCAAAAAAAAAGAAAATGATGTACATGCAATAACATGAAGCTTAAAACCTTGAAAACATCATGCTAAGTAAACGAAGCCAGTCACAAAAGGCCACATATTGTATGATTCCATTTATATAAATGTCTAGAAGATTCAGACAGCTGGTAAGTAGATTAGTGGCTGCCAAAGGCTGGGGGGCTTGGGGAACAAGGAGTGACTGTTAATGGGATTCTTTTTAGGGTGATGAGAATATTCTAGAATTAGATAGATTATGGTGATGGGTATATAACTCTATGAATCTACTAACAATCACCGAATTGTACACTCTAAAAGAGTACATTTTGTGACATACTAATTATTGTTTTGATAAAGGTGTTTTTAAAAGGTGATAAAATGAATGTTTATTGAGCATTACTGGTATTCAGCTGTTGTGCTATGCATCTTTTTTTTTTTTTGAGATAGAGTCTTGTTCTGTTCACCCAGGCTAGAGTGCACTGGCACAATCTCGGCTCACTGCAACCTCCGCCTCCCAGGTTCAAGCGATACACATGTCTCAGCCTCCCAAGTAGCTGGGATTACAGGCACCTACCACCATACCCAGCTAATTTGTGTGTATGTGTGTTTGGAGATGGGGTTTTACCATGTTGGCCAGGCTGGTCTTGAACCCGATCCACCTGCCTCAGCCTCCCAAAGTGCTGGGATTAAAGGTGTGAGCCACCGTGCCTGGCCTGTGCTAAGCATCTTATATGCACTTTTTCACTTACTCCCCATACAACCACTACCAACTTGGTTACTGGGCTCATTTGCTAGATTGCCAAAAAACAAAACAAAACAAAACACCCAACCTGAGTAAATGTACATTAACACAAAGCTAAGGGGCAGAACGGGGATTCAAGTTAGGGTCTAAGTAACTTTAAAGCTCACATTCTTTCATCATACCAGTATTTAAATATCTACAAGGCACAAAATTTGCAAGGAAGTTCTAGAACCTCAAATTTTACAAACACAGTTTACTTTTAAGGATTGAACCCTTGTATTGCCCGGATTGAAGACTATATGTATTTCTTCAAAACAGACAACAGAGACTAACTTAAAATGATTACTTTATTAAAAAAATAGCAAATCTCACAAACATGTATTTAATTTCTTATCACTGGCCATTGGCAAACACACCAGCGTGTGTGCTGATTGTCTAACATAAACTGAAGCTGGGCTGCCACAAGACGCCTGTGCATCACCAACTTGCAATCAACACTGGAATAAGTTTGGTGAGCTCGGGAAAGACAAATCCCTCAGCCCTGTCAAGAACATTAGTACAATGTATTTCAAGTATAATCCCGTAAGGCAACAATATGAAGCATAGCAGCACAATCTCTGCATCACATTTCCTGATTAAGCCTTCAAAAGGCCTAGGCGTCCAGTTACGGTGAATTACAGTGAGTCACATTTACTAAAAGAAGTATGTGAAAATGATCATTGCACTTGCAGTTTAATTACTTTAATTCCTTGTGGAAGATGATTTTGCTACTGGATTTGGCTGGAAAAGTAAAGACTGATGCTTCTCTTCAAATCACAAGAAAGCAAACTGCATTGCATTTTAGCTAGTAGAAGTATTTGGAACATCTTGTGCATCTGCCAAATGGAGTTTTTGTCTGGATTCATCAGTTAAGAAGATTTTCACTCTATAAGGGGTACTTCTTTTACATTTCTGAAAATTATATTCAGAAGCAAAGAGAAAGAGGTATTTAAAACAAATATGCTCTAAGGAAAAGCTCTGTGTTGCTACTGAGACACTAAGATGTGGTAAGACAATTTTTAAATGTAGTACATTATGCTCTGTCTAGAATTTGAATACTTTTTTTAAATTTTATTTTAGAGACAAGGATTCACTCTGTTGCCCTGACTGGAGTATAGTAGTATGTTCATATCTCACTGCAGCCTTGAACTCCTGGGCTCAAGCAATCCTCCCACCTCAGCCTCCCAAAGGCATGTGCCAGCACACCTGGCTAATTTTTCCATTCTTGGTTAGAGATGGGGGTCTCACTATGTTGCCTAGGCTGGTCTTGAACTCCTGGCCTCAGGCAACCCTCCTGCCTTGGCCTCCCAAAGTGCTGGGATCACAGGTGTGAGCCACCACAACTGATCCAGAATTATTTTTAATGCATCAATAATCATTTTCATAGTAAGGAGCTGATTAGAGACAAATTAAAAAAAATTTTGAGAAGACATCACTTTATCATCTTTGGGAAAACAATTCTGTGTAAGGGTCCAAAAATAAAATCATTACAGGTCTAAAATCTTTTCTGTAATTATCTTAATTGTTCCTCAAGAAGACTGGAAATAGGATGGGAATCTTGCATGTATTAGTCCTTTCTTACAATCACCGTCTTTCATTTTTCTCATTGACCTGTATTTATCCACCTGTTACTTATTTTTCAAGACCCAACTCAATGATATGAATATACTGAAAGCAACTAAATGCTTGCAGTATATGTATGGCAGAGGTTGCAAAAATGTACAGACATAAGCATTGCCATCAAAGACATTCTTGTCCAGTGGGAAGGCTGAGATTTAACACATGTAAAAATCAACAGAAAATAAAATAATGTGGAATGCTAGGTTGCAGTACAAATGAAATTCTTTATGAAAGTGGTCATCTTGAATGTAACATAAGGTGAACAAGGAGGTGAAAGTAACTCTAGGTAGGAGGTACGACCTGAACAAAGGCATTATGGTGAGAATGAACATGATGTGTTCTTGGGCATCCAAAAAACCAGCCTGGGGGGAATGAAAAGAATAAAAAAAATGTGATCCAATTATTAAGAACCTTTAAAAAGGTTGACATGGTTTTAAAAAATTGATAAAAAATAGAAATGACAGGAAGAAAGTGATGTTTCAGGAATATTAATTTTGTAGCAAGGTCTAAAGTTTGGAGCAACACTGTCCAATAGAAATACAAAGCAGGCTGGGAGCAGTGACTCACGCCTGTAATCCCAGCACTTTGGGAGGCTGAGGCAGGAGGACCGCTTGAACCCAGGAGTATGAGACCAATCTTGGCAACATGGCAAGACCCTGTCTCTTAAAAAAACAAATTAGCCAGGCATAAAGTATACCTGTAGTCCTAGCTACTCAGGAGGTTGAGGTGGGAGATCAACTGAGCCCAGGAAGTCGAGGCTGTAGTGAGCCATGATCCTGTCACTGCACTCTAGCCTGGGTGATGAAGCAAGGCTCTGTCTCAAAAATATATATGTATATAATATTTTAATAATTATTTCAACATGTAATCATTGTAAAAATTGAGATATTTTATGTTATTTTAAAAATATTAAGTCTTTGAGATGGCTTAGTGGCTACCGTATTGAACAGTGCAACTCTAGAACTGGAACAGAAAATGGAAAAGGTATAAGCAGGTGACAAGGTACTGGATTATGTAGAGAATGAAGGAAGAATAAAAGCAGAACTGATGATACCGATGATGCCTGACAACTGTAACAAAGAGATGGCAAACAGCCTTCATATCCATATCTAGGCTCAATGGCAGAGAAGGCCATGCCTGATTAGCAGTGTCTGCTATGGTCCTTGAAAGCATTTGAAAATATTCTTGGAGACTGAATTGACAGGCAGTCATGACAGAGAGGGAAATTAGGAGGGGAGAGTTTACATACTGAGAGAACACCTATTACAAGTGAGGAAACTATGGTGGCCAGATTTGGTTCAAGGTTACACGGCTGTTTACCAAGCATTCCAAAACCTACACTCTGTATTACATAGGATATGCTGCTGCTTTGTTTGTGGTGGGTAAATTCCACCACAGGTTGAGTCACAGAAAGTGGCCTAAAAAAAAAAATTCTAAATATTTAATAAAAACACACAAAAAAGTGCTGGACATGGTGGCTCATACCTGTAATCCCAGCACTTTGGGAGGCCAGGGTGGGCAGATCACCTAAGGTCGGGAGTTCAAGAACAGCCTGGCCAACACTGTGAAACACCATTTCTATTAAAAATACAAGAATTAGCCGGGTGTGGTGGTGCATGCCTATAATCCCAGCTACCTACGAGGCTGAGGCACAAGAATTGCTTGAACGAGGTGGAGGAGGTTGCAGTGAGCCGAGATCACGCCACTGCTCCAGCCTGGGTGACAGAGCAAGACCCATCTAAAAAAAAAAGGACACAAATAAGGATAGGAGATATTTCAGTGTCATAGCAGAGAAAGAATATAAAACATTGAAGGAATATAGTTAAAAATAACTTTTTGCAAGAAAAGCCCCTTGATTACCTCAAATCTTATCCCTGTTTTAACTCTTTCTTGACAATGAAATATTACATTAATCTCTCCCCACAGTTTATGTAACACCTTATTTTCTTTCTCTGCAAAATGGGGGCATAACACCATCTACTTCCAAGTAGGGCCAAATAAAATAATGGACATAAAACCCTTTATACAGTACTGAGAAAATAGTAAGTATTCATGAAGAGTAGCTACTAATTGCCATTATAGAACTTGTATATACCTCCTGATTTCTTTTGCCCAGGCTGGAGTGCAATGGCACAATCTCGGCTCACTGCAACCTTCGGCTCACTGCAACCTCCACCTCCCAGGTTCAAGCAATTCTCCTGCCTCAGCCTCCTAGGTAGCTGGGATAACAGGTGCCTGCCACCATACCCAGATAATTTTTCTATTTTTAGTAGAGACAGGGTTTCACTACGTTGGCCAGGCTGGTCTTGAACCCCTGACCTCAAGTGATCTGCCTGCCTCCGCCTCCCAAAGTGCTGGGATTACAGGCGTGAGCCACTGTGCCTGGCTCTGATTTCTTAATTGTTGTTACTGCACAATTCAGCAGTTACCAACAGTATGAATATAATCTTATAGTAATAATAGTAATTTATATATATATCGTTTGGAAATTTTCACATACACATCATCACATGTAGCAATTACCCTATATGACGGAGAACCCTCTGAGATGTAAAACAGTTTGCCCAAGGTTACATTATCAAAATGTAGAACCAAATTTAAAATATCCAATCTCTACAACCAGTATCCTTTGTATCTTAATAGCTGGTTCAGAGAATGTATCCTACCTCTCAAATTAAATTATCTTATGGGCAAGATCATTCCTCATTGTTCTTTTGTACCTTACCATTGTGCCTATTGTTATGTTCAAAAATATATTTTGAAAAGTTCTTAAAATAATTGCTCTAAATTGAAATGTCAAAACCTGAATATTCTACATGTGTCTGGGTGATTTCTTTACGCTAATCCTGTAATACACTAACTACATTTAATTATGAAATGTCATTTTACAAGCTGTGTAAGCATCCCTCAAAGGCTTCATTTTAATAATATCTGTTTTCAATTTTATTCACGTAAAATTTCCTATGTGATGATATTAAATTAGGTATAGATTATCTCTGAATATCTCACTGCCAGTTAGCCTCAGAATCTAAGCTTCAGAATAACTTATATAGCAACGAACCTAATCCTCAATTCTCATGATTAAAAATAATAATAATTTGTCTTAAACATTCAAAAGCAGTACAAAACAAAGAAGAACAAACCAGAAATATAATTTCAGCATAGAAAACAACAAGAACATTCAATTTGGAACCCAAAGTGGGCAGGGAATGGTGCCTCACCCTGTAATCCCAGAACTTTGGGAGGTTGCAGTGGGAAGACTGCTTGAGCCTGGGAGGCTAAGACTGTGGTAAGCCATGATCATGGTACTGCACTCCAGTCTGGGCCATGGAGTAAAATCCTGTTTCTAAAAAAAAAAAAAAGAAAAGAAAAGAAAAAGGAGAAAGAAAAGAAAAGAGCAAAGAAAAGAAAGAAAACCAAGGAGGAAGAGTGATACCTCTAGTGAATAATACTCTCTTTTTTCACCATATTTAAATAAGACACCTTTCTAAAACTTGATTGAGACTATTCACCAGAAATTGTAAGTTGTAAACTTTTCACTGTTGAGAGTAGGCAAAGGATACATGGAAGAATTCAATTCTTCTAACTGCAAAACAAAGAAACAAATTTATTTTTAATTTTTATAACAAATATAAATAGTTGTTAACTATTTGTTTTTAAATACATTATTCTTCATTTAAGCTTTCTTGTGTTGGACACAGTGACTCGTGCTTATAATTCTGGCACGAGGCCAAGGCAGGAGAATTGCTTGAGACCAGGAGCTCCAGACCAGCCTGGGCAAGATGGTCTAAAAAAAAAAATTAGCCGGGCATGGTGATGCACACCTGTAGTCCAGCTAGTCAGGAGGCTGAGGTGGGAAGATTGTTTGGACCCAGGAGTTTAAGGCTGCAGTGAACTCTGCTAGTGCCACTGCACTCCAGCCTGAGTGACAGAATGAGATTGTCTCAGAAAAAAAAAAAAAAAAGCTTTCTTTAAATGAAAAGGCAAAGTATGAAAGAAAAAAACTTTCAAAAAAATTTCAGGTCGAAAAATTCCTTTTTGCAAAAATAATTACAAAGTAGCATTAACATGTATGAAACAAGAATATGAGAAGAGAGGCCAGGCCTGATGGCTCTTGCCTGTAATCCCAACACTTTGGAAGGCTGAGGGGAGAGTATTGCTTGAGCCCAGGAGTTCAAGACCAGCCTGAGCAACATAACAAAACCCTGTTTCTACAAAAAAATAGAATATGAAGACAGATGATAAAAACTGGAGTTTTATAAGTATTCTTATAAATACTTATAAATATAAATACCAGGCATAATAACAATCATCTCTAATAGTTTTTAAAAGAAAAAAAGTTGCAATTTAAATGATCAAAATCTTTAAAACTATCATAGATTGCAAAAAGATTTCATGTCACTCAATTTTCTATATAAGGTAGAATTTATCTTGCGTTGTCTTAGGCTGTTTGGGCCACTATAACAAACACCATAAACTGGTGGCTTATAAACAATAGAAATTTACTTCTCATAGTTCTACAGGGTGGAAAGTCCAAAATTAAGGAGCTAGCAGATCTGGCGTCTGGGGAGGGCATGAACCTCTTCCTGGTTCATGGAACAGGAAGATTTTCTCCCCATGTCCTCACATGGTAGAAGGGATAAGGGGTTTCTCTCAGGCCTTTTTTATAAGGACATTAATCACATTCTTGCCCGAATCACCTCCCAAAGGCCCCATCTCCTCCTACCATTACTTTCTAAGTTAAGATTTTAACATATGCTTTCTGGGAGGACATAAACATTTAGACCACAGCGTTTTTATCTTACAGAAGGAAAAATCTGAATTACAAAAAAAGGTTAACTAAATGGCTCAGTGTTGCTCAGTTATAACCCAAATGCAGACCCTGAACTCAACAAAGGCTTTCTGGTTTCAAATGTAGTGTTCTTTCCACTATACCACTGTTATTCTCCTAAATGTATAGCAAATTATATTTCTATCTGTTAAGAGGAAAAAAATATAAAACATGAACTGGTAAGGCTGGGCACTGTGGTTCACACTTGTAATCCCAGCACTTGGGGAGGCCAAGATGGGTGGATCACTTGAGTTCAGGAGTTCGAGACCAGCCTGTACAACATGGTGAAACCCCATCTCTACTAAAAATACAAAAATTTGCCAGGTATGGTGGCTCGTGCCTATAGTCCCAGCCACTTAGGGGTGCTGAGGCAGGAGGATTGCTTTGAGTTCAGGAAGCTGAGGCTGCAGTGAGCTGAGATGGCACCACTGCACTCCAGTCTGGGTGACAACGTGAGACCCTGTCTCAAAAAAAACAAACAATGAACTGTAAATGGAAATACTTGCAAGACTGAATATGACAGACTTGAAATACAAAGATTATAGACTGGAAATAGTGAAAATGTTGGCATACAAGTTCCCTCACATTTACTTATTTGGAAGAGAGAAAAACAGTAGAAATTCACCCTTTTTGTTAATAGGGAATCTAAAACTAAAGTGTATTGAATTCAATTTTTATTTATTTTAGTTCCAAAAAAAATTTAGACGCAAATTCAATTAACATTTCTCAGTGTAACAATCATACTGGGCATGGTGGCTCACACCTGTAATCCCAGCACTTTGGGAGGCCACCGAACCCAGCTTGAATGTGAGTAGATTTGAAGACACAGGTTTTAAAAAGGTAATTAAGTCACAATGAGGTCATTAGGGTGGGCCCTCATCCAATGTGACTGGCAGGAAAAGCGAAGTGGGACACTTGGCATAGAGGAAGAAGCCATGTGAACCTGACGACTACCTACAAACTGAGAGGTCTCAGGAAAAAACAAATCTGCCAACTTGAGCTCCAACTTTTAGCCTCCAGAATTGTAAAAAAATTAATTTCTGTTGTTAAAGCCACCCAGTCTGTGGTACTTTGTTTTGGCAGCCCTAGCAAAGTTATACATATGGCAGTGAACTAAATTAGCAGAAACACCAAATGTAGTTCTCTATTTAAAAACAAGTAACCACCACCTGAGTAGATAACACAAAATGTATTGTCACGTCAGAAAAGGTCTTTTTGACTACTATCCTCTATATCTTAAGATTTTATTATATCTGTACAGAAGCAAAAGTTTTGCTTTCAGATTTGCCAGTATCTGTACTGTGAGAATACATGCTTAGATGTAAACATGATAACTTCCTTGGACTATGTTTCTTTCAAAAAAGAGGAAAGTTTTTACAACATGTATGAAACTTGATCATTAAATAAAATTATCCACTTAGGCCGGGCGTGGTAGTTCATGCCTGCAATCCCAGCACTTTGGGAGGCTGAGGTGGGCAGATCACGAGGTCAAGAGATTGAGACCATCCTGGCCAACATGGTGAAATCCCGTCTCTACTAAAAATACAAAAATTAGCTGGGTGTGGTGGCATGTGCCTGTAGTCCCAGCTACTCGGGAAGCTGATGCAGGACAATTGATTGAACCCGGGAGGCAGAGGATGCAGTGAGCCGAGATTGCGCCACTGCACTCCAGCCTGGCACCTGGTGACAGAGCGAGACTCTGTCTCAAAAAAAAAAAAATTATCCACTTAGGCCACATAGTGTATAATTCCATTGATATGAAATGTCCACAGTAAGCAAATCCATAAAGGCAGAAAGTAGATTAGGAGTTGCTAGGGGATGGGGAGAGGAGAGAATGGAGAGGTACAGGGTTTCTCTTTGGGGTGGTGAACATGTTCGGCAGTTCAACAGCAATCTGCACAACATTGTGAATATACTAAAAACCACGTAATTGTATAAATTAAAATAGTTCAAAAGCTAAATTTTTTGCAATAAAACATATTTTTTAAAAGAACAAAGCAAAAGAATGATACTTACATCTGACAGCAGCCTATCCAGATTGGAGTCACTGGCTGTTTTTCTCTTATCCTCAGGAAGCTCCTCTAACTCGCCATAGAGCTCCAGATTCAAGCGAGCTAATTTCTCCTGCATTCCCCGAACATGTTCCATCTGTTCAATGGAACATTCATTTCCTTGGGAACGTTCCAGAACATTAATAATCATTAGGACAGTTCAAAATAACAGCCTTGAGTCAAAACACTTAAACTCTAGGCCCTCTAAAAGAAACAAGTTTTCTTTCTTCTGTAAATTAGCTAATCATAAATATTTTCTGTGTTTAATAACAAATCAAATTGCTGACCAGGAAAACAATGACCAACCTAAGAAATGACTCTGGGTACTGAAGCAAATCAGATAGGAAATATTTCTTTTTAAAAAGCAAAATCAGGCTGTGCATGGTGGCTTGTACCTAAAATCCCCTCACTTGGGAGGTTGAGGCAGTAGGACTGCTTGAGCCCAGGAGTTCAAGACCAGCCTGGGCAACATGGCAAGACCCTACCTCTAAAAAAAATTTAAAAAGAAACTCATTAGCTAGGCATGGTGGCACATGCCTCTGGTCACAGCTACTTGGAAGACTGAGGCAGGAGGATTGCTTGAGCCCAGGCAGCACGTGAAGGTGGCAGTGAGCTGTGTTCAAGCCACTGTACTCCAGCCTGGGTGATAAAACGAGATCCTGTCTCAAAAAAAATAGAAAAAAGGAAAAGAAAAATCAAAATCATCCCTTAAGTAGAGAAAATATATTTTCTTCAACAGTAATATGTAAAAGCAAAACAGCACCATTTAATCATGTCCAGTTTGACAACTGCTGTTTGAACTGAGTGACCCAACATTTTATAATTATTTGAGTGAAATTAAGAGTTCTAGGCCCGGCTGGGCACAGTGGCTCACACCTGTAAATCCCAGCACTTTGAGAGGCTGAGGTGGGTGGATCACTTGAGCTCAGGAGCTGGAAACCACCAGCCTGGCCAACATAGTGAAACCCCATCTCTACTAAAAATACAAAAAATCAGCCAGGCATGGTGGCGGGTGCCTGTAATCCCAGCGCTTGGGAGGCTGAGGCAGGAGAATCGCTTGAACCCAGAAGGTGGAGGTTGCAGTGAGCCAAGATCATGCCATTGTACTCTAGCCTGGTGACAGAGTGAGACTCTGTCTCACAAAAAAAAAAAAAAAAAAAAAAAAGGAAGAGTTTTAGGTCCAGTGAGGTGGCTCATGCCTATAATCCTAGCATGATGGGAGGCCAAGGCTGATGTACTCATGAGTTCGACACCAGCCTGGGCAACATGGTAAAACCTCATCTCTACAAAAATACAAAAAATTAGCCAACTAGCCAGGCACAGTGGCACATGCCTGTAATCCCAGCCACTCGGGAGGGTGAGGTGGGAGGATCACATAAGCTTGGGGAAGTTGAGGCTGCTGTGAACCATGATCATACCACTGCACTCCAGCTTGAGTAAGAGAGTGAAACTCTGTCTCAAACAAAAAAAGAAAAGAGTTCTGGCTGGGCACAGTGGCTCATGCCTCTAATCATAACACTTTGAGAGGCCAAGGTGTAAGAACTGCTCAAGTCCAGGAGGTCAAGATCAGCCTGGGCAATATGGTGAAACCTCATCTCTACAAAAAAAATACAAAAATTAGCCAGTGTGGTGGCATGTGCCTGTAGCCCCAGATACTTGGAAGGCTGAGGTAGGAGGATGGCTTGATCCCAAGGAGGCCGAGACTGCAGTGAGCTGTGATCATACCACTGCACTCCAGCTTGGGTGACAGAAAGAGACCCTGTCTCAAAAAAAAAAAAAGTTCAATAATGACTTCAAATGTGAATCATTTTGCCAACCAACTGCGTATTCTTCCTTTAAGAAATCTAAATGAAAAGATTTATGAAGCATGCAAAATGTTATGAAAAATACAATGCAGTATTTTTTACTGTTACACAGTTGTCAAGACTTAACTGCTAATGGATAGGTCTTACATTATGTATTGACCAAGAGTCCTCTGAAATGACATTATCTGCCCAGAGCAACTAATTTATACACAAAATGTATGATCTTTTCCTTAGTTTTAAGTACAGACTCTGCAATCCCTTGATAGTATATTTTTTTCCAAAAAAAAAAAAAAAAACAAAACTTTTGCTTTTTCCTAAAGGTACTACAAAGGTAAAATATATCTCAGCTAAAGTTGAGGTACATATCCTGAATATGAATTAATATAAATTATACTAGTTTCCACTAGCCAGCTTTATAACATCTTCATAAAATGAAATATAGTACATTATGTTAAGGACTACTAATGTTGAAGCTAGTTATAGCTCTCTCAAAATCATCCTTTCTTTACAGTAAAATGTCATATTTCCTCTATTTTAGTAATGTTTTTCAACATTAGTAACTTGGAAGGTCAAGTGGAAAAACCAGAAATAGCTCCAGATATGTGTTTGTGTGTATGTATGCAAATGTACAGTAAAAATAAAAAGAGGTAGAAATCATAGGGGAAAAAATGGGAATCAGAGGACGGATCTAGGTGACCTACCATGAGAACAACAGAAGCTTCAGAGGCGAAAACAGAAGAGATGGAAGAGAAATAATAAACAATAGAAAATATGTTACGTGAGATGAAAAATGAGTCAGCAGATATGAAGGGCTCACTGATTCCCAGGCAGATTGATGAGAAAAGACAGTCCTAAGCATATCCTGGAAAATGCCTAACCTTTAAAGATAAAAGAAAAACATCTTTTAATCATTGAGACAGAAAAATATAAATTACCTGGTAAGAAAGAATCTCACTGGCAATGGAATTCTCATCTGCAATACTTTTATTATAAAGAGTAATCAGTAGGATAACAGACAAAGACAAGAAAGGACTTCAATCCAAAAACACAAAGGCAACATAGAGTAGAGGAGGAAAGGTGCTGGGAAAAAGCAAAGGCATGGAAGTGGTCCCAAGATTACATCTCAAGGGTAGGAGGGAAGAAGGGAAGAGAGGGGAAGTGAAAGTATTCTGAAGATACCACCTTTCTGGGATGGGCTAAAGCAAGGAGGTAGGGGTAGAATAAAGTATTTTTGTGAGATAAATAATGTACTTTTAATGTCATCCTTTCAAATATTAACATAACCAAAGCTGGAAACCCAGAAACTATGAAGAAAAGATACAGACGTGTTTGAGAATGCAAAAAGTAAAAACTTTTACAAGGTTAAATACACCATAAAAAAGTGCACAGAGAGAATAAATTCAGTGAACAAAAATAAATACATAATAGAGGTCAGAGGGCTAGTATCTAAAACACAAAGGGCTCTTTACAAGGGACAACAAAAGGATAAATAACCAAGTAGAAAACTGAGGAAAGGTCCTGAAAAGGACCTACCAAACAATCTAGAAAACACATATGGATCTTCAAACTCATGATAAGAGACATCTCACTTTACACCAAGAGACTGGTAAAAATTAAAAGACAAATAATACCTACAGCTTGGTGGGAATTCAGGGAAAAATGTTCTTTCATAAATTGTTGATGGAACCTAGAAGTGCAGTATTTTTTTTTTGCAAGCAATCTGTATACTTCCATTAAAAGTATATATATGCTTTGACCCAGCAATCTCACTCATGAGACTCAATCCCAAAAGAATAAAAGCACCGGCCTAAAGATATATGTAAAAGGATGTTCACTACACCATTGTGTTTGGTGGCTCAAAATGAGAAACAAAGTAATGCCTTTCAATACAGACATGGTTGAATAAACTAGAGTATATCCATAATTTGGAATATTACATTGCCATTAAGAACTAGAGCCATCTGAGGTGCATTAGAGAGAGTTCCATCAGATACTCTTTATGCAGGAAAGCAAGATACAGAATATCTTATATAAGATACCACTTGTATTAAATAATGAAAATAAAAATATGAAAAGATATATACCCTGGATTGTTAACAAATGGTTGGGATGAAGGGAAGTGGAAGTAGCAGAAAGGATAAGGGAGGGAATAGGGAAGTCAAGTAAAAAAAACATGGGGAAGGGAAAAATATTTTAAGAATTCAGTATGTATGTGGACATTTATGCATATGTATAAGATTATGCATCTTCTAAAAATTGGAGAAGTTTAAACATTTGTTTAAAAGATTATACATATTCGACAATATTGAAATTGCTTTTTAAAATACTGGGAAATAATTTTATCATTAGAAAAAGCTTACAAATAAGTTTCAAACTGCACATGAAAAATCTGACTATATCTTTTGTGAACTCTGTGTTTATCAAAAAATACCTGTTCAGAATTTTTAATGGGACAATCAGTTAACTATTCTTACGTCTTCATGAAAAAAAACAAGAAAACTGGATTCTTTTAATTTCTAACTTTCAATCAGGAATCCTGGGCAAGAAATAAGTTTAAACATAAGAGGGTAAGGGAAAATAATCTTGATACTTTCAAAATGAAGATACTCAGTCTACAATATTTTAACTGACCAAGACTGTCCCTCTTACTGCTTAAAGCTGCAAGACACTTATTTCATAACAGCAATCCTGCTTTGACTTTCAGCTAACCCTTCCTCTTAAAAATCACTTTTTCCCAGAAGTTTTAGAAGGCAAACTGTATTCTCAGACAAAATCTAGGATGATCGCCTTGTATACCTGTGGGCTATTTTTTTCTTAAGAAAGAAACTGACACTTTGAAAAGGAGAGTAAAATACACCCAGAAAATAGGCTGCAAACATTGTAGAGAAAAATACAGTAGAGAGACATCTATTGCTTACCAAATGCTTGAAGTTTTCCAGAGTGGAAATCATTCAAAAGACTTAGCAGGCCTCTCTCCATCTCCTGAACATCTGAGACATCTGTGAGGAAGGAGTGCTGAATCGGAGTTGACTGAGTGCCTTTTCCCTCTCCACCCTGAGGTTTGGTCTTCTCTTTCATCACTCTGTAAATACGATGCAATTAACATAAATTCTATCTTTTTAGGCCATTAGATTAATTTTTAGTGAAGTAAATGGAATTTCCCTTAAAAGCAATAAATCAAATAAAGTCAATACTAAACAAAACTAGAAACTCCAAGCCAGAAAACAAAAGAAAAAACAGTTTGTACTCAGGAGGCTGAGGCAGGAGAATCATTTGAACTCAGGAGGCGGAGGATGCAGTGAGCTGAGATCATGTCACTGCACTCCACCTGGGCAACAGAGTGAAAAAAACAGGTGTGAAAAACTGCAAACAAATGTATAAAGTATTAGTATGAAGGCATATAAAAAGTTTGATTAATACATTTATATAATATGCTAATTCTTTGGACTGCAGAAAAAAAAACTTGTCTTTATTATCCTATGCTTTACATTTCATTTCTCAGTAAACCGTAGTACACCTTTCTCTTCTAAACGTTATTTGTTCCTTGAACTATCAGTAGTCTACAAGTGGTTATGGGGTCCCTACTCTGTAGCTGACATTATCCACAAATGCCCAGTCTAAGAAGGGAAGGTATTTAAATTCATAATTACAATGTAATGGAATGCTAAAAACTTGTTATCATCCTTGACTCCTACGAATTCCTAGGGCTCCTACATGCAGTCATGAAGTCCTATCAATTCTACCCACAAAACATCTAATCTCTCGTTTTCTTTCTCCCCTGCCACCATTCCATCTCTTAACCAAACGGCTTCCCAACCAGCCTCCCTATCTCTGTGTGTGATCCCTGATCTCCCTTCTCTCCACACACAGCAGCCAAGTCCATTTCTAAAAAGAAAAATCAGATTATATAATTTGCTTAATTAAAATGCTTCAGTAGGCCAGGCATGATGGCTCATGTCTGTAATCTAGCACTCTGGGAGGCCCAGGTGGGGGGATCATCTGAGGTCAGGAGTTCAAGACCAACCACCTGGCCAAGATGGTGAAACCCTATCTCGACTGAAAACGCAAAAATTAGCCAGGTGTGGTGGTGCACACCTGCAGTCCCAGCTACTCAGGAGGTGGAGGCAGGAGAATCCCTTTGAACCCAGGAGGTGGAGGTTGCAGTAAGCCAAGATCACACCACTGCACTCCAGCCTGGGTGAAAGAGTGAGACTCAGTCAAAAAAAAAAAAAAAGAAAAAAAAAAAAAGCTTCAGTAGCTTTGCATTGCCTGCTGGATATAATCTAATATCCCTAAGAAACCCTATTCTCCCTGTTTATGCTCTAGCCACTGAATGACTTTAGTTTCCTAGAAATCCATTCTCTTATCTTCTTACATGCTAATCCTCTGCCTACGTTAGCATCCTTCCACTTACTGCCATCTTTGCCAGGCTGCCTCCCACACATCTTCAAGTCTCAGTTTAAATGCTATTTCCTCAGGAAGGCCTTTTCGGAACCCCTAGACTAAATCAGTCCTTATTACACATGTCTGGCATATACCAGGCTCTCAAATATTTGAGTGACGATGTTACACACACTGCGACATAGGAAGAGAGAGAAAGAGCAGTTCACTCAGCCTGGGGCCAACCAGAGAAGGCTTCCTACAAGTGATAAGTGAACAAAAGCTTAAAGAACAAGGGGCTAAACAGCCAAAATGGGAGAAAGAGTAATTTATCTTTATAACCCAATGCACGCTACAAATCCTGACATGGAAGTATATTCACTACTCAGTTTTAACATAATGTTGAATGAAGACATCTTCCCACAGCTGTCCTCACCACAATAAGGATAAGTAGGGTGTGTGTGTATATATATGTGTGTGTATATATATATATATAGATACATATATGCCCAGGGAAGGCAGGGGAGGGGGCACACAAGAAAGAGACTAATATTCTTTTTTTTTTTTTTTTTTTGAGATGAAGTCTTACTCAGTTGCCCACACTCGAGTGCAGTGGCATGATCTCGGCTCACCAGAACCTCCGCCCTCTGGGTTCAAGCAATTCTCCTGCCTCAGCCTCCAGAGTAGCTGGGATTACAGATGCGCACCACAGCACCTGGCTAATTCTTTTTGTATTTTTAGTAGTGATGGGTTTCACCATGTTGGCCAGGCTGGTCTTGAACTCTTGACCTCAGGTAATCCATCCACATCAGCCTCCCAAAGTGCTAGGATTACAGGCGTGAGCCACTGTGACCAGCCAAAGCAACTAATACTCCTAACATGAAAGAAGTTTAGAATAGGTACATTGTTGACAGGTCAATAATAGTTCTCCCCAAAGCAAGGTCTGCATTTTATATATACTACATACATTATGTAATACCTTGCTACTCAAAGTGCTCTCCATGACCCATAGAAGCAACCTCACTTGTGAGCTTCGTAGAAACACTCATCTGAAGTCTCATCCCACACTGATGTGAAATCTGTATTCTAAAAAAAAATCCCTGAGAGATTCATATTCACATTTAACATCTGAGATAAACTATTACAGAGTGTGAGGTTTCAGCATGACAAATGTATTTTTTCCTCTCAAATTTGGAAGTGTCTCCAAGTAAAAGTTTCACATCAGTACATCATTTAACAACCCTCTCAGAAAACAAACACAAAAGATAAAAAAAAAAATCTGTTTATTCCTGCTTCAATGTTATGTCACACTCTCACTTTATGTGAACACAATTCAACAATAAAAAAGCACATAATGAAATTGTACTACGTCCAAAGCCACACTATAAGTGCTGTCAGGCACACAACGATGATGCATATAGTCCCAGTCCTCAGGAAGTCTACATCTAGAAGACGGTGTGGAAATTCAACCACCAGTAAAAATGACAACGACACAAAGAAACTGCTTTTAAAAATATAGACAAAGAAGTGATTATTTTAAAAATCTCTTGGTTTTCTTTTCCTACCAACTATAAACATTCAAAATCTGACTTTAAATTAAACTCCTCCATGAGGAAAACCCCTTTTCATTCTGAAACTTTATTCAAAGGAAACCCTCAAAACTCTTGTTTATCATTTGGTGCTCATTGGAATACTTCTTCCAAATGTTCTCTTGTCTTTGGCTATATCCTTTCTGCTTCCATAAAGAGAGATTATCATCAAGGCAGTAATCTCATCTTTTACTATGTGTAAACCCAGCAGCTATAGAATGCAACAGGCATTTCCTTAACTAACTCAGCAGGGTGAGTTTGGATGTGAGAAAATTTATTTAATAATTAGAAAGAAGAGTCAGGTGTGGTGGCTCATGCCTGTAATGCCAGCACTTTGGGAGGCTAAGGCAGACAGATCATGAGGTCAGGAGATCGAGATCATCCTGGCTGACATGGTGATACCCCATCTCTACTAAAAATACAAAAAATTAGCCAGGCGTGGTAGCCAGCACCTGTAATCCCAGCTACTCAGGAGGCTCAGGCAGCAGAATCACTTGAACCCGGGAGGCAGAGGTTGCAGTGAGCTGAGATTGTGCCACTGCACTCCAACCTGGGCAACACAGTGAGGCTCCATCTTAAAAAAAAAAAAAGATTGACATTATATGACACTTTTTTCTATAAAGCTATAATCATTCCTTCCAAATACCTAATACTACAAAATACTTACATATATGTAACAGTAACATATAATATAAACTTGTCACTTCTATTTCCTTTAAATATCCTGGATGCAAATGATGTTCACCAAATATAAATAATGATTATTTCTAGATGTTGGAATCTTTGCGTTTTGAATTTCTTTTGTCCTGTGTTTGAATTTTTATAAAAAAACAAATTATTTATGCAAAACAATGACATCATTATCTTTTAGAAATAAAAACTGCAAGCTGGGTGTGGTGGCACACACCTGCTGTCACAGCCCCTCAGAAGGCTGAGGAAGGCAGATCCCTTGAGCCCAGAAGTTCAAGGTTGGCCTGGGCAACAGTGAGACCTCATATTTAAAATATATACATATGTAAAATTAAAAATAAATTTAAAAAAACTACCAAAGCACAAACACTCAGCTTAGTGAAGAGAGAGACAGAGAGAGAGAGAGAGAGAGAGAGAGAGAACAAAAAACCCTGCTGACTTTATTTCACCTTTTCCCTTTTCCCATTTCTGACTAGTTCATCAACATGGTCAGCAAGTTTTCTTGTTCTGTATATTTTAATATGAGACAAAGTAAGGGCCTTCAAACCAATAGTTCATTTTGCATTTTCCAATCTCTATACACAGTAACTTTCATATATTATTCTTCTAACTCACACATAATAGATGCCTTAACTGTTTTAAAAGTCAAGCCAAGACCAAAAAAATGTTTGAAGGAGTAGTTGAGTCAGGATTTACTTCAGCGACATTTTACTGTGAACATGTAAAAAGAAGAGAATTCACCTTTTTAATTTTGGCCGCTGTGAAGCTGCCTGCGATGCAGGATTGGAAAACCCTGTGCTTTTACTCACTGGAATGGCATTTTTTTTGGCATTGACAACCTGAGTACAGTGGGCACTAAAAGACTTAGGACTCCTCCTCTTCACTTTCCGCTCTTCCATTGTTTTAAGTTCCTTATTGCACCACGGCCAGCTTCTTAAGACCTAAGTAAGGAAATACAACGATTATATATGTATACTATACTATACAAACATGTAAGAAACTCAAAGACCCATTTCACAGGTCAAAAGAGGATCAAGAATTCCAGAGGGCACAAGAAGTTAGAAAATGGGTCTCTTAAGTTTACTCTACTATGTACCCATAAGCCGCCAGCAAAATTGTCTGGTAGACAAGTTTTTTGTTTGTTTGCTTTTGCCATTTCTTTATTCCCTCATCTTACAAATACTTACTAATTCTCTTCCACAAGCCAGACCTATTGTGGGTACTGGGGAGAGGGCACTGAACAAAACAAAGTCCTTGCCCTCAAGAAGCTTACATTTTACAAGGGGAACAATATATAAACAATAAACAAATGATTCACATAATATTCCCAGCCTGATTCAAGCTTCAGATAGCCTTTAGGTCTCTCTCCCAAAATGTATGCTCAAGAAGAACCAACTAGATTCAAACAGACGTAAAATTGTCAGGGGGATTTTGCTAGCATTTTAAAAAGCAACTAGAAGCCTTAGTTCAACTACTAAACAGAAACTCAGTTTCTAGCTAGCGCTAATACTGATTCTAGTTGGGTAATCAAGTGAAGTTCTAGAAAATCAAACTTGTTCCTTGCCTATTTTGAATATGCCTTCTCTAACCATTTCCAAACAAACATGAATTTTATGATATATATTTGGTTTTGTCCATATTAAAAAAGTTAACAATGTGAAGTTACGCAGGGCCCTTTCATGGGGAATATGTGTAAGGCCTCCTGTTTATCCTTATATAGTCCCCTTACTTTATGTATTAATCAGCTCTATTTTTCTAACATCCATCTATTTTTAAATACCCTTCCAGATTTTATTTGTGCATAATGTTAAATTTTTCTTCATTATTTCATGTAACATAAGATGAAGAATTTATATGGCTATCTACCTCATCAGACTGTAAATTGTCTAAAGAAACATTGGCTGTATTTTGCATGTTGTGTTTCATTTAAGCATGCCATGACCATTCAAAAAGATTCAAACACATTGCTGTCGCTTACAATAATTATTTGAGAAATTTAATGAAAATAGTTTTTTTTTTTTTGCTTTTGCCTGGACTTAGCGCCACTGGCACTGGAATTGAAACCACTGACCTTAAATTGGCTGACGCTAGACAATCACAACTGCAGCTACAATACCCCCAAAGAAGAGCTTTCTGGGAAAGGCTCCAATGCCCAGTCTCTAATCCCAGATACCAATTGTAAATCCACTTAAACCTTGGTTAACAATTTTTCTTTTAAGGAGCATTTTTGGGTCGGGAGCGGTGGCTCACGCCTGTAATTCCAGCACTTTGGGGGACTGAGGCGGGCGGATCATGAGGTCAGGATATCGAGACCATCCTGGCCAACATGGTGAAACCCCGTCTCTACTAAAATACAAAAAATTAGCCAGGTTTGGTGGTGCATGCCTGTAGTCCTAGCTATTTAGAAGACTGAGGCTGGGGAATCGCTTGAACCAGGGAGGCGGAGATTGCAGTGAGCCGAGATCACGCCACTGCACTCCAGCCTGGCGACAGAGCGAGACTCCGTCTCAGGAAAAAAACAAAACATAACAAAATTAAAAAGAAAAAAAAAACCCACACACTTTTGGAAGCAGAACAGTAATTCTGGGGTTGTCCCAACATGAAGCACAAATTAAATAGAACTTTGAAAGATGACTGAATAGAGACGATGGGTTATTAGTTCTCTGAAGAGTCAATGATCTGTAAAAACTTAAGATACGCATAAACACGCTGGCCTGAAATTTAACGATGTTAATACACACTTGGTGGTAGAAGAAAAAAAATCTAGGAAGTAAAGCAAACTAATGTTGCTCTAAACCACAATGTTCTGGGGAGCCAGCACTCCCGATTTACTCGTTTTTGGAAAGTCACATCTGTCACAAGAGCACCGAAACCCTTCTTGTATATTAAACAGCAAAGAATTTTTTAAAGAAGGCTTAAGTAAACTGCTCACAGTTACTTATTCACACGTTGGTTTTAAGTGCCAGATCTTGCCTCCAAGCAGGACCACTGGGAATCCCCCTTGACATCACTTCATTCCCCTTCCCCAATCTGCCGAAGCGATGACTCTTCACCGCCGGGTACCCGGCAGTGACCACAGCGGTGGGAAAGGCCTAAAGGGGCAAGTTGCGTAAGTTTCTTTGCTTCCACTACATACCTGAAGAAGAAGGGGATTGGGGCCCCCTTCCGCAACCCGCAAAGACCCGACAGCTTCAGACGCCACCGCAGCAGCCCCAGGTAGGGTCCCGATCACATCCCGGTACCCGCGCCTCCGCAGCTCCCTTTGTTTACGGAAGTGACGTGAGAAGGAGGAGCCTCCATGCCCCAGGCGGAAGCCCCGCCTTTTCCTACTCCCCCATCGTCGCTTGTGTCTCCGCCCTTGGCATTTCATTGCTTCTCCTGTCCTGCCTTCAGCTGTAACTCCGGCGCGCATAGAAAGGAAGACTCATGGTTGGGAGTGTCCTTCTAGTCTCTGTGACCCAGAAGCAAGACGCAATAAACGGGTGCAGTGGAGGTAGAAACGGGAAATGCAGTACCCTTCCCGGAAGCTACTCCGCCCCTCGGTGAGTGTCAGATCCCATGAACTACAATTCCCAGAATGCTGTTCGAGCAAACCGGAAGGCAGAACCAGAGTGTCGCCTTTCAACTGTTCCATGATTGTTTTCCATTGGTTGCCCGGAATTCTCGCGGCTAAACTAACTTAGGCTCCAAGGCAGTGGGAAAAGTGTGATTCTGTTCAGCGACCGTGATGCTGAGCCCCTAAATGAGAGTCTGCTATCACTATTAATAGCTGCTCTGGTCGGGCCCTAGACTTAACGTTATATCTAAACCTCTCTAGAATTTTATAGGTAGGTGTTATAATCCCCGTTTTAGAAATGGGGAATTTGAGGCTGAGAAAGTCTCATTGATGCAGGTGTCTTCTCTGTCGCCAAAGACAGTTCTACTTCCATTATGCTTACAGCCTCTGGAAAAGGAATTGCAGGCTGAGAGAAAGAGCTCTATCTTAAAGGAGGGAAGAAATCCACGTTTCATTGCCTGGTCTGGGTTGCCGTCCCGGTGTGGGAGTGGGAGGTGGGAAGGTTTTAGATTTACAGGGCCTTGGATTGAAGAGACTGAAGGAACACCACATATTCCCCCCGCATTAGCTAATGGGAAACTGTATCTTGAGATTGTATCCATGCTAGAAAAGGCAGAGCAAAGACAACTCCAGTCTCCTGGCTTCTAGGATAGGGTGTTCTTCTACCACCCGCGAATTTTTTTTTTAATCTGAAATGTTTTAAAAAGAAAAGCACAGAGTGAACACTTACCCACTATCCAGAACGAACAGATTTATGAATGAAAGAAATAGAGCATTACAGATAAGGCAGGTGTCCCATATTCTCAGTTCCACTCTACCACCCTGAGAGGCAACCAGGATCATGAATTTGATACGTATCTTGCCAATCTAGGTTTCTATACTTAAACTATTATTATGTCTTATAAATGATATGTAGAATGGTTTTGGGCATTCGAAGTTTTACACGAATGCTATTATATTTTGTGTATTGATCTGCAATTTGATTTTTTTTTACCCAACTCTGTTTTTGAGATCTAGCCATATTGATAAATATAGCTAGACTTAATCAAATAAGTTTGCCACAAATTATTTGGGAATACCCATAGAGATGGATGTTAGGTTGTTTCCCATTTTTCCCCACTAAGCATACTACTGTAAAGTCTTCTCGGTGTCTTTTCCCAGTTTCTCCTTTTAATTAATCTCGAATTGTCTTACTTGTATGAACAGAGCTTGCAACTGGTGATTCACATGCTACTTTTTTTCCAATTGGTTGCTAACAGTTAAAATTGAAAGAATAAAAAAATGGATCTGTGGCATCTCATGAGTTAATGGGAAGATCTGACCACATTATATCTGCATTGTAGCCTGGCAACAATGGTTCAAGCTGAAAAGCATCTGCCTCCTTTAGATCAGTTCAAGTGCTATAATTTTTCTTTGCCTTTAGTACCCATCTGAGCCCTGTAGCATTTGTGTTTACAATCTGCAAATGATGTAGGGACACAGGAAAGTACCCTTCTAAATGTACATATTTCAGATATTCAGAAATAGGTATTCAGGTTTTGAATACCTATTTTTTTAACCTATATTAGCTAGACCCTGTGATAGGAAGTTAGGATGCATCTATCAACAAAAGGTACAAGAACTTCATAGTCAGAGATCTTATATTTCTGATATAAGAGACTGACAATAAAGTAGTAAACAAATAAAATAATGTAGTGAGATAAGAGTCCTGAAGTAACAGCTTAAGGTCAAAAGGAGTTTGTATTGAAGAAGTATGAGGGAAGGCCTTCCCAAAAGTGCAGCTTTGAGGTAGAGATAAGAATGAAGTGTATGAGCCAGCAATGGAATGATCTGAAGGAAAAGCATCCTTGCGTGCCAGGCACAGTGGCTTATGCCTGTAATCCAGCACTTTGGGAGGCTGAGGCAGACAAATAGCTTAAACCCAGGAGTTGAGACCAGACTAGGCAACATGGCAAAACCTTGTCTTTACAAAAAATAGAAAAATTAGCTGGGCTTAGTGATGCAGGCCTGTAGTCTCAGCTACTTGGGAGGCTCAGGTGGGAGGACTGCCTGAACCCAGGAGATCAAAGCTCAGTGAGCCCAGTGAGCTATGATCATGTCACTGTGCTCCAGTCTGAGTTACAAAATGAGACCTTATCACAAGAAGAAAAGAAAAGAAAAAAAGAGAAAAGCATCCTTGAATAAAACATATGGTACAAATGCAAGCTGTCAGGCAAAATGAACTTTAGCATGCTTGAGGAAGCAAAAGGTTAGTGTGGTGGGATTGTACTGAACTAGGCACAGGGTGACGTGAGTTAGAGTTGTTGTAGAGGTAAATTTCAAGTGTGATTTCTTCAATCTAAAATCTAGAGTTCCTCCCTGAAAGAAGTGATCTTTCAGATTTTCTAGATTTCCTTTAATTCCTTTAAACTGCAAACATTCGTCCTTTAGATTAACTGTTAAATGCATACCTTGTATAAATTACTCCAATCAGATACTTTCTTCCTAAGGATGATATTTAGAATGGGAGCTTTGATTAAAAAGCCCCTTCCCCTGCCTCCCAGTACTAATATATCCTATAGTATAGGTAGGTAAGGAGGAGTACTATTGGAGAATTTCCTAGTAATGACAGTAGAGAGCCATTGAGAGAAAAATCTGCTGGGGGCCCAGAAATCTTTATTTTAAAACAATATATTTTTTTCTTATGGCAAATTTCAAACATATATACTGAGGAAGACAGAAGAATATAATGAACCTATCATCCAGCCATTAACCCCTGGCCAATGATGTCACTTATCCTTGATATCAGGGATGCTGACTGTGACCCTTTGTGAAATGGAATTTTTGTTCTGTTATTTCTTAGGGTGCTATGAAGATAAGAAAAGACACAGGGATTTTAGAAGAAAATTATAACAATGTATACTTACCAATTTCTGATATAATCTCAGGTGATTCACATGGACACACGTAAACACACCCACAAGTGCAGCTAGAAGTAAATCATGCAGACACTGTCATTGTCCTTGTACATTGTATATACAATGCATTTGTGTGCTTTGGTCAAAAAACTGTGATTCCTAGTCTTGCAAAGCTGTGTGTAGTTAGATAATGTGATGACCTGTAATGTTTATCTGATAAATATGTATTCACATGAAACCTGTAAAAAAAAAATGCCCCTCTCCTGATATTTTTTCCTCTCTAGTATTATTTTGAAGTAATCTCAGATATAATTTAATCCCTGCTATTTTAATATAGATTGCTAAAAGATTAAAACTTTTAAAGATTTCACCACAATGCCTTTATTATTCCTAACCAGTAACAGTTGATTAATGTTATTAAATATGCAGTATATATTCAAATTTCCATTGGAATCAAAAGTGTCATAACTTTTTTTTTTTTGACACAAAGTCTCGCTCTGTCACTATAGCTGGAGTGTGCAGTGGTATGATGTCGGTTCATTGCAACCTCTGCCTCCTGGGTTCGAGTGATACTCCTGCCTCAGCCTCCTGAGCAGCTGGGATTACAGGCTTGCACCACCACACCGGCTGATTTTTGTATTTTTAGTAGAGACGGGGTTTCACCATGTCTGTTAGGCTGGTCTCGAACTCCTGACCTCATGATCTGCCCACCTCAGCCTCCCAAAGTGCTGGGATTACAGGCGTGAGCCACCGTGCCCAGCCATCATAAGCTTTTTCACATTTTATTTGAGTCAGGAACCTCTCTGTAAGGTCCTCAGGTGACGAATGGGTTTGGAAGCCTCTGTTGTGCAGCCTCATTTGTTGAGCTACAAACATGCATTGTCCTTTCCCTTGAGAAAGTTAGGGTGCTCTGAAAGCAGGGGTCCCTAGACCCCCACTGTAGACTGGGACGGGTCCGTGGCCTGTTAGGAACTGGGCCACACAGCAGGAGGTGAGTGGCCAGTGACTGAGCGTTACTACTTGAGCTACCACCTGCTGTCAAATCAGCCGTGGCATGAGATTCTCCTAGGAATCCGCCCCCTAATGTGAACTGCGCATGCGAGGGATCTATGTGGGCGGTGCTCTTTATGAGAATCTAACTAAAGCCTGATGATCTCAGATGAAACAGTTTCAGTTTCATCCCCAAACTACCCCCACCCCATCCATGGAAAAATTGTCTTCCACGAAACTGGTCCCTGGTGCCAAAAAAGTTGGGGACCATAAAGGGGAAGGCAGGTTTCTCAAAGCAAACAGATACTCTACCTCGGTTCCTGAAGCACAGTCATCCTCTTATTGTCCTTTGTGGTTCTTCTAGAGAAGAGAGATTTTTTGTTTGTTTCTTGTTTTTGTTTGTTTTTTCTTTTATATATACATTTTATTGCGTTTTAAGTTTTGGGGTACATGTGAAGAACATGCAAGACTGTTGCATAGGTACACACATGGCAATGTGATTTGCTGCCTTCCTCCCCATCACCTATATCTGGCATTTCTCCCCATGTTATCCCTCCCCAACTCCCCACCCACCACTGCCCCTCCCCTAGTTGCCTCGCACAGACCCCAGTGTGTGATGCTCCCCCTCTGTGTCCACGTGTTCTCATTGTTCAGCACCCGCCTATGAGTGAGAACATGCGGTGTTTAATTTTCTGTTCTTGTGTGAGTTTTTGTTTGTTTTTACCTGGAAGCCTATCCATCATCTTCTAAGTGTGCCTCCACCTCCATTTTCCCCGATGCCAGAATGCCTTGGACAAGATAGTCACTGCTCAATGCTTCTTTGCATGTCTGCTCAGGAAACAGCTAAGAAAAAGGAAAAGAAGTCCTAAAGCAGAAATGAGCTTGGCATGTTCACGGAACTGAAAGAATGCCAGTGTAGTGATCCGCAGAGCAGGGGGACAAGGAGAGGTAGTATGAGATGAAGTCCCCAAGGTTGGCAGAGGGGTCAGATCAGGAAGGGTGTTTTTGTTTGTTTAAGATGAAGTCTCACTCTGTCACCCAGGCTGGAGTGCTGTGGCACGATCTTGGCTCACTGCAACCTCCGCCTAATG